TTTTAGTAAATATATGTCAAAGGTTATTTGATTATGAAGTTAGCTATTTCCAATCTGCCTGTCAATACATACAGTTGGATTCTGTTTAATTTATAAAATATGGAAATATTCTCATTTTAATTTTTGTACTTCTCTCGTTGAAATCTGAATTTCCACTTGAATTTCAATTCGGTTTTAATGCTGCAATTTTGCAAGAATTTCTCTTAAAGTATCGACAAATTCTTCTTCACTTGGACACGCCTCAGTCGTCGCCGCCGGTCACTCTCAATGTTTCCAGTGACCAATACACGCCTATCTCTCCAATGTCATTCTCTCTCTCTCTCTCTCTCTCTCTCTCTCTCTATCTATCTATCTATCTATCTGTCTCTTTCACTTTGTCTCCTTCCCTTTCTCTTTCTCTCTCTCTCTCTCTCACTCACTCTCTCTCGCTCCATCCCAAGCGAAATATCGTCTGTTATGAATGAAAGCTTTGAAAATATTCGTCCAGACACGAAGTCGGTAATTTCCACAAGAAGTCTCTCGTTTAGTTTTGTTTCATGAGGACATATGTTTCCAAGAAAATAAACACGACCAAACTTCAATCTAAACACTTAGACAGACATATATATATATATATATATATATATATATATATATATATATATATATATATATATATATATATATATATATATATTATTATCCCAAGTATGGTAGTACAGCCAATAGCACCCAATATGTTATAGGGTGGATGAATTAGAGACAGAAACATTAGTAATGAAGAGAAAGAAAAAAGAGAAAAGAGCAATCACGAGGACAGTAGATATCGATTGACATTGCATTTAAGTTTTTTCAGATTAAAGTTGGTTGGAAAGCATGAAGCCGGAAGGAAGTTCCATAAACGAGAAGTGCCACATAAGAACCTGTCAGCGTAGAAGTTACGGTTCCATCTGGCTAGCTCCTGTAAATGGATGAGATCTCGCCGCCAATCTTGTACAACGCTTAAATTCATACAGTCTAGGCACCATAGCAAAGAGCTCTTCCAAACAATTACCATGAAAGTGTTTATAAAAAGCCACAGGGAAGCAACCTTACGGCAGTGGGTAAGTGCCTGAAGCTTTGTCACAAGATCAGGACCAATAATATTGCTGATTCTTCTTTGGATTTTATCAAGGAGCTCTAAGTAAATAGCAGGACCACCGGACCATACGTGTCAGCAATATTCTCAGCACGGAAAAATGGTATGCTCTCAGGCGGGGTCCTATTTTTTTTGAGAAACCACCGTTTCATCCGGTGTGTTTTAGACCACAGAGTGGGTCACAGAGCAACAACGTCCTATTTCTGTTGTTATTAAATATACACTCATAGGTGTCTAGCCTGAAAGCATATTTTCTGTGGATAGACACTTGGCCGGAAAGAACAAACAAGCTGTGTCTATCTCTCTTTTTGCATGTAATGGGTAAATATTGGACAAGCGACCCGAGTGTACGATCTTGGTTTCCCCATGTTAAACCTGACCTTGAGTCGTATCCCTTCTAAGTAGGGAGGCATGTGTAAATACCTAGCCGTTTCGAATCAGGCAGTCCGCTCACTGTCTTCGGGCAGAGTGTGACTCAGTCGGGGCTCTTGAGCTCGCAACTCAAGGGCACATGTGTTGGTACATTGCCCGTCACATGTATTAGATGGTATTACAATAACTGTCTCTTTGAATTGGAGTTTTCCATCTCCTAAGCGCATGTTGGTCGTTGGCTTCTGCAAAAATCCCATCCCCCCATTGCCAACCCTCTCCAGGATAGTTGGAATTCAGAATTTTCCTTCTATTAGATCGATTGCCAGCGAATGATACTGGGCCCAGTCCGTCCGGCTGTTTATCCTGCTGTTTGATGAATTTGGGTAGGAAAATGCTGACTCACTCTCAACATAATTGCTACTGTTTCCATTTTAAGTCGCTCATTAAAAGTGATTAAATAGATAAATTATTTGATGGTATTATCAAATGTTTCCCTGCGACCAACATTTCGAAAACTGGTTCCAGTCGGTTAGGCTATTTATGCTGGTGTTTGGAGAATTTGGACAGGGAAATTCTTTCCTTTACCAACTTCTGTAAGAGTTTCTGTATTTTCCTTTATGTCTGCTATCAACACTGTCATCTGCATTTCCAATGTAGCTAAGATTCCCCAGTATCTTTATTTGTTCTTTAATTTACTTGTTTGTTTAGAGGCATAACAACTCCTTATGGATTACCTGATGCCAAAATTTAATTTTCTTGAACGCATTAGTAAATTCTTTTGCAAAAATATATTTCTGGTATTATTTCACCATGAGAATGTATTGCTGGTAATCTTTTTTACCATGAGAATGTATTGCTGGTAATCTTTTTACCATGAAAATGTATTGCTGGTATGTTTTTTACCATGCAAATGCATTTCTGGTAATTTTGTTACCATGAAAATATATTGCTGGTAATTTATTTTTTACCATGAAAATGTATTGCTGGTATATTTACTATAAAAATGTTTATACCTTCATAGTGTTTTGACCCCCATTTTGCTGTTCAACTATTTACCCATAGCTGGGACCCTAATATTGGTGCTACCACTCCGGATCAGGATGGACCTGGGAACACCAGCAATTAAGAGGTGGTTCTAAGCTCCTCAAAAATTCTTGATTAGAGGCTTTGCTGCCAGATGTAGTTTATTGTCATAACCAGAGCTGTTTTTTAATACTGATTTTTCAAAGCTAAAAACCGCTCCATAGCTGTAATATCAGGACTACATAATTCAACTGTTTTAACGTCTTTTTCCTGATTTGGTGTTATGCTAAATCTAGTTTCGTATTTTTTGGATATGTTTTAATGGAATGTTCCAGTCTGTCTATTACCTATTGTGGACTGACTATATCAGTAATATATGTAGTATGCACAAGACATACTAGGGACTTTCTTCCGGAAGTTCTACTCGATTCCCTGTCTTTCAGTATTGTATTCTCTTTTACAATAAACCTCTCTTTCATCCATCTACGCCCGTGTTGCTGCTCCTTTCACTCGAGTATCACCGTTGTCTGTATGTAACCCCTTTAGGGATACAACAGAATATAAGACATATTTATGTATAAAACGCACCCTTATTTTGAAAACAACGTTTTTTGTAAAGCAACAGTTGCATATGTGTTGTTGCGTCCTCCCTCTATAGAGTCTATGTTGGACTCTTCCGCCTACTATAAGATTAGTAGGAGAGAAGGCCCTGGGAGAACAGTCTAATAGTTTGAAAGCTGGGTCAACCGACACACACTTGCTAGTCGTGTAATACTCTTCTGTTGTGCTTACTGTTTAATATAGCGATTTTCGAAGCGTAGCTCAGATGTGGCACAGGTCCGAAAGGATGGGGCACCCAGTGAGGATCGAACTCACTACTCTGTCGAAATTGTTCTAGCGAGACAAGCTTGTTAACCATTACACCGCGCCGAGGTGCCCAAGTGATTTTCCAAGCGTAGCTGAGATGTGGCACAAGGCCGAAAGTATGGGGCACCCAGTAAGGATCGATCTCACTACTCAGTCGAAATTGTTCTAGCGGGACAAGATTGCTAACCATTACACCACCCCCGGGTGCCCCTACTGTTTAATATATGATATATCTGTAACACTTGTTTTGTTATTTCTTTAACCAGTTACTTGGTCACAACACTATGAAAGGCTTTTATTGAAAAAAAAATTCAATATTATACTTAAACAATTATTATATAGTGTTCTAAACATAAAATAACCGTACATGAAAAAGTGTTTCCTGTTTTTTAGTTTGTTTCAAAGTCTCCAGAATCGTCATTGATTTTACAAGGTAACCAAAATGTTCTGTCCGTTTTTTGCTTAGTCATTGAATGAAGTTGAAATATATGCGAAATGCGTGTAGAAATTGTTTTCAAATTCGGACAGCCGGAAGTAGGAACATCAGACATTATAAAAAACACGCGCACCGTGCCTGGCTATCAGTTATAAGCCGGACAGCTGTGAAAAGGATGGAAGTGTCTAGAGATCTCGTTCGGGGCTGTTTGCTTTCCGACTTCAAAGTGGGCTTATCAGCAGCTACATCAAGTCGCCGCACATGTCAAGCGTTTGGGGATAGTGCTGTGGATGAACGTACTGCAAGGCGTTGGTTTCGAAAATTCAAGTTGGGAGATTTGTATCGCCATGATGAGCCTCGCAGTGGACGACCACAGGTTTTGAATGACGGAGTCCTGAAGGCGGCCATTAAGAGGACAGTAGTCTAACGTGTGGTGAACTTGCAAGACAGTTCAACGTTTCCGATGAAACAGTTAAACTTCATCTGTACCACCTAGGTAAGACGTACAAACTGAGCAAGCGCTGTTGGAGGTCCACAAGGGACAATGAGTGGTAGCCTGCATATCGCTGCTTTCTCGCCACCGTACCGTATCCTTATTCAATCGAGTGCTTACCAGTGATGAAAAGTGGTTTCTGTACGAAACTCCCAAGCGTTCCAGATATTGGTTGTCTCCTCAGGATGCTGTCCCTCACACCGCACGACCGCCTATGCACCCACGCAAGATTATGCTTTGTGTCTGGTGGACAGGTCGTCAAGTGGTTCATTATGAACTGCTACCAACGGTCCAAACGGTCACTGAAGACCTATACTCGCAGCAATTGAAACGTGTGCAACAGGCATTGCGCCAGAAGGAGCCTGCACTGGTGAATCGCAAAGGTGTGCTTTTTCTCCATGACAACGCCAGGCCGCATGTCGCGCGAGTGGTCAGGGATACCCTACAGCAACTTGGGTGGGAGACTTTGTGCCATCCACCTTATTCATCTGACCTTGCGCCATCCGATTACCACCTCTTCCACTCCCTGGATAATCATATTCGTGGGAAATCCTTCAACATTGAAGCAGACTTGCGCAAAGCCCACACGAACTTCTTTGCGCCCCCCCCCCCCGAGTTCTACCGCAAGGGCATTGAACAGCTGGAGACACGTTGGCGGAGGGGGCTGGATGCCGATGACGATTACTTCGAAGACTAAATATAAGTTACACATACGGTTAAACGTTTTCTTTTTTCCTTTAAAAACGGACAGAACTTTTTTGGTTACCTTGCATTATTGCTCGAAAATAAATCCGACATAAATTTATCAGGTTTTCAAACGAGTTGAAATAGAGTGACTACCTAGAATCAATAGCTTCATCTACTGCAAGGACAGTTGCGTCACTGTGTCGTGCCAGAAAATCTTTTTCGTCAGAATCTATCTTGCATATTTACAAATCTACCATTCGTCCATGCAGTGATTACTGCTGTCATATCTTGTCTGATATTCCTGCTATTCATCTCGCGGTTCTTAACAAAATCCAGAGAACGATGTGTAATATAATCGATCCTGACCAGGCATGCCGACTTCAATCACATTCTTGCAGATATGACGTGGCTCCACTCTGCTTTATCTATAGTAGTTTTCATGGCAACTGGTCTAACGAGCTTTTTTTTCCTGGTGCTCCAACTACATGAATTTAAGAGTGCTGCTAAATTGGCATCTACGTCACTTCCGTTTCTGTTTAAATAGCTAAATGCAACCAACACTTCCCGCATGTGAAACTTTCTTCCGTTTACTTTCTTCCCTGATAACTACAATCTTCAAAAATTTAAATACGTCAGTTGACATCTTTTGTCTTCTTGAAACACATTCATCTTTTTTTCCTTTTTTTTTCTATACTCTTTTCTTTCACTTTCATTCTTTGTAACCTCCCGCCTTGCTTGGGGTGAAATGATTAAAAAAAATGATCCACCATTATGATGATTTTCTAAGCGTAGCTTAGATGTGGCACAAGGATAAAAAGTGCAGGATAGCCAATGAAGATCGAAATCACTACTCAGGCTCAATTTCTTTAGCGAGGCAAACTTGCTAACCATTACACTACGACCACGTGACCACATAATGAGTACCATTATGATTATAGATAATGTCATCCTCGCTCCCATCTGTATCTCATTTCTTAAATGATTTAATTACTTCATCAATTCTTTTTTCTTTCTTTTTTTTTCACCAAGAATTCTTCACCTACATGCACAAAAGAACAAGCTCTCGTCTTTTCTCTTCCATACGTAGGGGTCACAACAAAATCTTACTGCTCTTAATTTTATTGTTTAATGACTAGGCAAACGCATAGCCACTTTGAAATCCGTACTCTTGTTAGAAATAAAACATCAAATGTTCCAAATTATACTTCATTTATTTAAATATAATTATACACGGCTTCTGTCTGTATGCGTATATGAGCTGTGATACAGCGAAACAGGCTTGTATGTGGATGACTATATATATATATATATATATATATATATATATATATATATATATATATATATATATCCGCAAAATCAGGACCTACCCACATATCTCACCCACACAAGACAAACATGCTTGCGGAGGTGTTGAGGCCTTACACTTATACACACACCCATACGAATAAACACACTTACACACATCAACTAACTCACTCCCTAAGTACCAAATAACACACACTTAACAGAGACACATCCCCTTTCCAGGAACCAATAAAACTGTCAAAATGACCAAGGGAATTCAGAGCAGCATGGATCCATCCAGCTCTTATCTTAAATAACAACTTAAAAGACTGTTTGACCAACACAACACAAGAAATAAAAAACAAATGAAAAATACAGACAAAAGTTTATTTTCTCCATCAACTCATTCATTTCTGTAGTTCACAGCTACTAACAAACAGAATTTTTTTTCTCCTGGTGATGACCATGTTGGCAGAAACCTAGTCGAGGAATCTAACTGAAATAATAAAAACGAAAGAATATTAATATACAACCCAGCGTGTCTGAAGATTTTAATTTTTTAATATCTTTTATTGTTCAATACATCACACTGCTTTCCCATATCTCTCTTGCTTTCAATATGCGATTTGAGAAGGGTGTCGATAAAATAAAGAAACCTGAAATGAAAAATTACAGCAAGACGGAACTATAACATCAATTAAGATCTTGGGACACCGATCTATAACCAGAACACTGTTTCACGCTACTGACGACCTTTAGTTAGACGATGCGCGCACACACAAACATACCCCCCCACACACACACACACTCACAAACACACACAAGAACGCACGCATAAGTATTGAGATGGGAAAATGCTTGGGAATACCAAGTACTATAAGCATGGAGGTGCGAGTGGTGGAATAGATGACGATTCAAAATCGGATTCCAGTCAGGTTCGTTACATTCACTTACACGTAAATATTATCGGAAAAGGTATGGATCCACCTTCCAAATATGTTTTAAGTAGCAGGAATTTTATCGAAAATTCATTATCTCCAAAAAATGGTTAATACAGTATTCACAAATGTTGTTTCAAGAGAATGATTTTACAAATTCCAGCCGAAATGGTAATTGCTGCTCAATCGATGAATGCAAAATATTTCCTTATAGGGAAACGGTTATGTATTACCATTACCATTACCATTAACATTACCTATTTCTCAGTGAATTTTGTGCTATCTTAAAAAATTAATTATGTTCTGATTTTTAGAACAGACAGACATAACCACTTCTTGCTTCCATTTCTCATTAAATGTTTTAATCGTCTACTAATCTAAGCCTTTTTAATCTCAAAAATCCTTATTACTCACAAATATTAATTTTACTAAAGTGAGAGCATAGTCTTTTCTATTATTTTTCCATTCCTGTTCTTGATGAGAAATATCCAATCACGATGCTGTTGACACATTTCGTATTTATAGCTGAGAATTGAAATTCTGCGCTGACTATCACGGTATGGCTAGCCACATCCTTTTCGAAAATGTTTCCATTTACATCTTTTACTCAGACGGTGTTGGCATTGTTGTCGGAGGTGGTGATGACTGTGTCGGAGTTAGCATTGTAGCCATCGCCATTTCAAAATTATAGGAATGATGCAGGTCCACTTGCATCTCTTGTGAAGCATAAGTTTGGATTGTGTGCTGAAGTAGGCTTTCATACACCAAGACAAAAGTAGCGGAAAGTTGTTGAAGTGCAGCGCCATTTTGGAGTAAGTGGCCCAATGTCCACGTGAGAAAGTAGGTGGCGCTGCAGCTGTCAACCATTTCAACATGGCGACTGGCATTGCTTGTCAACTCAGCGGAGGGCAAACGGCGGGAAAAAAAGAATTGCCGCTGACTGTGGCGATGTCCGTGTCAACGTTGCAGCCGACATGAAGAGTGGAGAGAGTTGATGAGCGGGAACACGAGAAGCAAAGGAGAAAGTGAAAAGAGAACAAAGAAAAGGTAGAAGGTGGGCAACAGAAGCGGGAATTACAGAACGGATGTAGTTTATAAAAGTGTGGGGGGGAATGACAGAGAAGTAAGAGTGGCAGGAAGAAACTAAATATAGAGAGAACTGTCGGTTAAAAGAAAACAAACTGGGAAAGAAACTAAAAATTAGCAAGAGAAGGGGAGAAGTCGGAATCGCTTGAAGGGAAGAAATGGCAAAGAAATGAAAGGGAAAGGCTTTAAACAAATGAACGGATAACAAAATGAATGAAAATAAAGATTCAAGTCGCCACCAAGCCTGAAATCTTTCATGGATATTGGCTATTCTCTTCCAACTTTATGTTCAGAGGTTGAAAACGTAGATGTCTGTCAAAAAGCATTGCTTTTCTCTGCACCAACCGATCCAGACATTTTTCTCTTAGCCGTTAAAGAAACTCGTGGAAATTGGGTTGAATTCTCTTTGCAAAAGAAAAATGCTGAGTTTGAGTTTAAAGAGAAATCAAATATTAATTCTTTTCCTGCTAAATTTATATGAAAATATGTATTATATATTATATACATATAATTATTATTACATGTATCATAATAATAATAATTTATTATGAGCGAATGTATTAATAATAATAATAATTAGTAGTAGTAGTAGTATTATTAATGTATACTCTTATAATAACATATTATAATCATTATTATTTAATATTATAAAATATTTTAACAATTATTATTATTTAGTCCGTCTAAGTTCTCTTTTTAAAAGGAAAATGATGCTCTTTAACAAAAAAGAAATGTTTATTCATTTCCTGTTATATTAAAATACGACACATATATTGCGTCCAGTATGAAACAGCCTGTGTTAACTTCAATGTTCACTTTATATATATATATATATATATATAGCATTAAGGAATATATATATATAATTATTATCGTTATTGTTATTATATACCATAATATTAAGTAATATGTATAATTATTACTTTATTATTATCATTATTATATACTATATTATTACATTATTACATAATATTATTAGACTAATAATTGCAATAACTATTATATTATATAACATGTAATAGATTAAATATGGATTAAATCCAACAGAATTATATAAGGAACAAATACTAAAACGTTTATAGATTTTCCATGTTTCCCCACTTTATATTAGCTTCATCAGAATTCGGGGACGTATAAAATACCTAGAATGGTCTGTATTTCCAATTGAATACCTTGTTTTAATTGGTCGGGGAGATATTAAATGATCTTACTTTGTGGCGATCGCACGTATGTGTTTGAATTCTAGTGGGATGGTGATTTACGCCATGTATAATTCATTGATTCATTCATTTTTTACAGTTTATCAACCCTTTCCAAACATTGCAGGGTTATTATCGATAAAGTAATCTTATAATCTAAAATATTTTCTTGGTTTTTTAAAGCTAGAAAATACTTTTAGATTTTATGATTTTTTTTTTTTTGAAGATAATAATGATTTAGTAATATGAGTCATATTATTTAACCCATAGCTGGGAGGAGAAGAGGTGGAAACCTACTTTTCGCAAGATTATAATGAACCCAACTGGAATTGAAATTCGGCTCTCTGATTAATAATTCTGAGCCATTAACATTTTACACCACCCGCACATCCAAGCTTACAGCATCTGCTCTTCCCAAACGGTCACCCATCTAAGTACTGCTCAAAGTCAACGTTGCTTATCTGCGGTGGTCATACGGGAACCGGTTTTTCAACGGTATTTTATGTTGTGTGTTTGTGTGTGTGTGTGTGTGTGTGATTCCTGATTCTGTAGCGAGAAGTGGAAAGCATATGTATATGTGTGGGTGTTTAACATATAATATAGTGTTATATTATGGGCGCTTTCCGATCCTGAGACAAGGGTTTGATCGAATCTCACCCTAATTGAGTTATCAGACAGTTGACTCCTTGATGTTTGGTCTCGGGAGGCGACTCTAGCGTATGGCACCTTTGGAAAGTGTCTGAAAACGATACCCTCGGGTTGACAACAAACATTGTGAGTGCGATTGGTTCGACGGAACTGTTCGGAAATCGTCGGTGACTGTGCTAGCAAGACGTCACAAGTCATTGTGACCGAGTGTTTCAGGGTACTGACGTTTTTCAAACTGCTGTTCACGACAAAATATGTGCTCCCTTCCAGAAACAGTAACACGTGTCCGCTCGGCACAGCTGCAGCATAAACAATAGTAGAGTTGTTGAAAAAACATATATATATATACCCGAAAACAGCGTCAACAACGGTTGTAGCAGACTGGTATGCTCGGAAATGAATAGCAAGACATCATTATTATTATTATTATTATTATTTGGATTTCTGTTGTATACACATTTCCTTCCAGGTCCCAAGCAGAGACCTAAGGTCAGAAATGCCTTCATGAGATTTTCCACTGACCATAAAAAATACCTAAGATCACCCACATTTTACAGAGATAAAGGTCTTCGTAATGTGTGAGCTGTGTTGTTGTTATTATTATTATTATTATTATTATTATTATTATTATTCTCATATGAGAAAGTTATTTGAAAATATTTTTCCTATTATTTATTAAGTAGAGCCTACCTGTCACAATTTTGTGTCACACATTAAATATCGATCTCACGTTGTGATAACCAAGATCTGTTACTGTTATGCTCTAGTTCGCCATATTTTCAGGAAGCCGATCAAAGCCAGAGACGAACTCTCTAATTGTGGAGATTAAAATATCCGCTAAGAGATGTAGCTTCTATTTAATTATATACATATATTTTTTTAATTTATAGTTGATCCTAACTATTACAATTACTATAATCGCCGGACATGTAGCAGAAAGTTTACTATGCTTTCCCAAGTCTGACACAATGACAAAAGTTTGAATCATTTGGAGTCACGAGCAAAGGTATTGATACGATAAACCAGCTTCATAATTATGACCCAACAGAAAAGCGTAGATAAAATTTACTAGCTTTGGCATAATCTGATACAAATCTGCAAATCTGAAGTATCTACCGAGGGTCGAAAAGCAAAGTCCCACTAGTAATCAGCATAAAAAGGATCTCCATAACCAAATCGCTGCGGGGTGATATCTAATCAGTCTTTTTAAAAATCATCTTTGTACGTGAATAAATCAGATTCAGCGAATTATTTACATTTATTGCAACTTGGAAAAATTCAGTATCAGAGGAGGGATTTTAGAAGCAAACTTCGAGAAATAGGTAATATATTAAAAAGTGTTTATGATTAAATACGGAATATAAATATAAAGAGTATTTGCGTATTACGAAAGTGTTTTGAGAAAAATAGCAAAAAATGTTGGGGGCGGGGGCAAATATGCCGTGAAATGCTTCATCGGAGAATCCTTTTATGACACAACATCCCTGCTAATTCCACTCATCAAACAAGAGGGACATTGGGACAATTTTCATGGGAAATCATTAATCTTCAATCTTTTTTTCATGGGAAATCATTAATCTTCAATCTTTTTTTCATGGGAAATCATTAATCTTCAATCTTTCTGTCTTGATGTAGTACATTCTTTGTTTGTCTTATTTTCTAAACTTAAACAAAATTGAAACGTACCAATTTTGTGAAAGGTACTCATTTTCTAAAAGATACCGATTTTGTTTTTAGACATCAACCTTATATTTTAGATTTAGCACAATCTGATTTATCTTATCTTCTAACCGTATACAATATTGAAAGTACCCATTTTGTGAAAGGTACTCATTTTATGAAAGGTACTCATTTTGTTTTATGAAACGTACTCATTTTGTTTTATGAAAGGTACCCATTTTATGAAAGGTACTCATTTTGTAAAAGGTAACGATTTCGTTTTTAAACATCAACCTTATATTTTTGATTTAGCACAATCCGATTTATCTCATCTTCTAACCTTATACAATATTGAAAGTACCCATTTTGTGAAAGGTACTCATTTTATGAAAGGTACTCATTTTGTTTTATGAAACGTACTCATTTTGTTTTATGAAAGGTACCCATTTTATGAAAGGTACTCATTTTGTAAAAGGTAACGATTTCGTTTTTTAAACATCAACCTTATATTTTGATTTAGCACAATCCGATTTATCTCATCTTCTAACCTTATACAATATTGAAAGTACCCATTTTGTGAAAGGTACTCATTTTATGAAAGGTACTCATTTTGTTTTATGAAACGTACTCATTTTGTTTTATGAAAGGTACCCATTTTATGAAAGGTACTCATTTTGTAAAAGGTAACGATTTCGTTTTTAAACATCAACCTTATATTTTTGATTTAGCACAATCCGATTTATCTCATCTTCTAACCGTATACAATATTGAAAGTACCCATTTTGTGAAAGGTACTCATTTTATGAAAGGTACTCATTTTGTTTTATGAAACGTACTCATTTTGTTTTATGAAAGGTACCCATTTTATGAAAGGTACTCATTTTGTGACCGTTAACGATATAAAAATATTGCTTCGACTTATTAAATTCGCACAATTCACTATTCTTCGTGAGGGATTTTATCGCTGAATGTATCATCGCCTACTGAAGTGCCTACATGTTGATGGAGTTTTGTGGTGAAATAAATCTTATACTTAAAGTTTTAGATAATTTCATAATTCCGTTTGAAATAAGTAATCGTGCATATACTTTGATTATTTATAATAAGCATAAGGTTTATAATAATGTCTATAACCAGTAAGAAGCGAGCAAAAGTTTGAAAAAATTGATGTATATTGTCAATTCCTCATCTCAAAATGAAATACGAAATTATGACAAGCAGTACAAACCCGCCAGGATAAAAATTGAAACCTTATGGTATTGAATATAAAATGCTCTAGACCTACACCAGTGAAGGATTTTTTTTTTAGGCATGTGCTAGTGTCATCTAGTTGTCCTGAGTTAAATCCGTGTACAGGTATTTAAAGTACTGGTTGATCAGGAACGAACATTAACTAACATCAGCTGAACAAAATAACGTATTAATCAAGTTATCAAACGAGTAATGGACAACTGATGATGGTCAGGATGTACTTGGCTGAAACATTTTGTCTAACATAATGATCAATCCCTTGAATGCTTCAATTGTCGGGATGGTGGCTGAGGGTAAAAGAAACAGACATTGTTTCTTCTTCCTGACTCAGTGAAACTTCAGATAGGTTGGCGGCGCCCGTCTTCTTTCCAAGCTGTTGACCGACAGCCGAAGACATGGTGTTGGCCGCCCTCGGTTCGTACACTAGGCCCTCCGGTTTTCAGTTGTCCTTCTCCTAGATCTGTTGCCACCCAAAGCTATAGAACCCAGTCTGTTCTGCTATTTACCCATAGCTGGGAGGTGATGGATTCATGCCTTTTCCAAGGGTTTTAGGACGTAAGTGAATACAATGAACTTGACTTGAATTCGAACGCTGCTCTCCGATTTCAAAATCTGAGTCGTTATTGATTTCTTCACTATACCTCTTCTTTGTCTATAATAGTATTTTTGGTGATGGGGCCAATAGTTTGAAGTACATTAAAATATTTGCTTTAATACGATTTTTCTAGGAAACTTTTTAAATACTAGACGTATCTATAGTTATCTTCGCTTAGGTTTCATCGTCTTCATCTTTCTTTCACGAGAACAAGTCATTATATAACTTTAAATTCTGTGATACTTCCATCTTATGAGCACAGACGGAAGCGTTTGTGGAATCAAGTCCATTTGTTTTTATTCGAACATAACTTATTACCGAACCGTTAGACAAAAATTCGTGAAATTTTAAAAACACATGAGAGGGAAAGCTATGGGTCGTGACAGGAATAAACTGTATTTATGAAATATAGATATCTTCAATTTTCCGTTTCAGATATCATTTCTGTCGTTTAAAAATTATACGTTTTGTCTATTCTTGGTGAAACATTACTCCACCTTATAATTGACACAAATAAATTTAGGTTATCGTCACGAGTGTGGATCGAACGATTCCTCTATAAATACGTGGATAAGTATATGTCTTTATAAACATATATACTTCTTTTTTGTGTTTGTACGTGCGTCTCTGGATGAGTATGTTTGTATATCAATCTCTGCTTTCTTTCTTTCTGCAGGGTGCGATGGATAAATTGGCGTCTAAGTTATGCAACAATGAAAATAACACTGGCACTTCATTTTAACAGATATATTTACAAAATTACTCAAAAATGTCTTGAAATAATTCAATAAAATCACTATTGGATTCAAACACGGCCTCCAGACTTCGAAACCTCCTGCATCTTTTCTGGACGGTCTCCTTGATTAAGTTGGTGAATGCTGCCATAATCTTTGCCTTCAGTTCATCTTTAGGGTTATAAAAGAGTTTAGTTGGTCTGTCGCTCAACTGCAACCCACACATAATAATTAAGTGGGTTGCAGTCTGGGGAGTTAGATGGCCAGATGTAAAGTATGATGTGGCTGCAAAAAATGTCTGACAGTCATAGCTGGGGTTTTCTGCTTATGTGACATGGTGCAGAGTCCTGTTTTCGGACATATGATCTTCCAGCAGCCACCCTCTTGACCCAGGGCAGCAGGACTTTCTCAAAACACTTAATGTAGGTCTCCACGTTAAGTTTGAGGCCCTCATTAACAAATACAAGTGTTCTTTTTTATCAAAATGATCAGTGAGTTTTTCGAGCTGCCTTACCTTCGTAATTACCATTAGACGCATCAAAGTTTTTCTGAATCCTCTGCACGGTCCTCAGATTGACGCCTAAACACTCTGAAATGTTCATATTGGA